GAGTATGTGTGTGTATTATTTTAAAATTGCTAACGTCCCTTCCCATGCTCGTTGATATCTATACAGCTTAGGTCTAAACAGTCGTTTCTCTATGTATACCCATGCAAGGTAATACCGTATATATACCCATATAACAGTTAAATATAACTAATAATGTAGACCGACACAAGATGCACCAATATGGTTATTACGGCTGTTACATATACTATGTGTAAAATGAAAAAATTCTGGTTAATTTTCCATCATGACTGTATCCGGTCTCCATTATATATAGATATAATCGATGTTTCATCCATCAACGAAAAACGTTTAGAGATAATAGGTGATCAATCTATAATAATCGATAGTTTCTATAACTAGCTTATTATGTATGCATGTAGACGTCAAAATATACATCTCAGATTTAAGTATAATTTTCGTATGTGCGTACATTGTTTCAATCTTTTTTGTCCAAAATTTCAGCAGATGATTGATTAACTTCGACATATGTATACATTTTCCATAATTAGCGTTGATGATAAGTTTCATGGATCTAGAGATTGTACATCGTGAGTCTTCAAATGTATAGCCTTATATAGACTTAAGTTTCCAATATGGATCTATAAATATTTTTGATCATTTTACTTCTGGTATCCTACCTTTCTCCCCTCCGGATTATAACCATATATTGCTCAACCATTCACAAAAAGAAATGCCTATAAATGAATGAATGAAAGAAACGTATGGCAAACCCTGCATATAGAAAGACTTACTGGCATTAATATGACATCGTATCTACATACGCACATGCCCTCGTCAACACACTTATAATAACCAAAACAATCACATTTTAATGCTTTGAACCATACGTTTTGTGTTTCTAAAAATATCAACAAGATCTTGGTATAGTTACTATCTTTTTTTTTTTTTTGGTCAACAGTATAGTTACTATTAAACATCGAAATATAGACCAGAATGCGTGAACATAGCAGGAGGTGATTTACACCGAAAAAGATAGTATATCAAATAGAGATAAAACAAGAATAAGCTCAAAATGCATATGTACCTCTTTTGAGACAATGTGGTCGAAAATCAACCATGAACAAAGAAAATGGAAGAAAACAATTTGGCATGGGAAATATTTTATTGATTAGCAACACTAAATTACACATATATAAAAATTGTTCAAAAACCCTAACTAATCATGTAGTGTGCCTCATTAGTAAACTCTCACACTCAATAGTATAGAGAAAAACATTTCACAAGACAAATACTACTCGAGGCCAAAACCTCTAGAAAAAAAAAAGACAAAAACCAAAGCCTGGTTGCAAAAACCACATACTACAATATATCGAATAATCACGTTCGTACTTACTTAATACATTAATCAAGAAGAATAAAACAAGATGAGAATTTTAAAAATTTAGAAAAGGAAAAAAATATATGAAAAAAAGAAGCAATGCCAAGAAAAGAAAACACAGCTTGTTAAAAATAACAAACAAACAAACGAAAGGACAAAAAAGAAAGAAAGAAATGAAAATAAATCTCACAGATATATGTTTTTGTGTGTGTGTTTTTTTTTGCCTAGGAATGATGACTTGTGCTTCCATCTTCTTGATGGTTGTGATGGTGATGATGATCTCCTTCACGGTTTTGCTGGTTCGCCGTCTCCTGAGCCGGCCGGTAAGCAGCGTTCAACGCCGCTAAAACTCCATAATGGCTATGTT